TTTCGCAAGCAAAGCCAAGATATTGTAGTCCATATAAGTGAATGGATTGTTCCACCAGTATTGGACTTGGAGACAACGATGCCGAACTGTTGAGTCAAGTCAAGTCAAGTTTATTTCACACACAAAAATCACAATACAAAAAAATAGGAATAATTAAATAGAGTTAAGAGGGAAGAAGAGGGGAAAAAACATCTCTGAGTCTTGCTTCTGAAAATCGCCAATAAAACTACTTTACAAGACTGGTATGACTAACGATTTCAAGCTATAATCTAAATTCCATTTCATCACTAGGAGGAACTGACGTTTTTCTAAATAGTAATTTTGCTACCTAGGTGGTCGATAGATAAACAGTTCTATAATCTCATGCTAATACAGCTGAATTTTAAATTTTTAAGGAGGAATGAGAGAGAAATTCTTAGACTTTAGAAATCTTTAGACTGAGATAAAAATCGTAAAAGCCACTTACAAGGTAATATCCACTTTCGAATCTTTGGAAAACCAACCTACTTCCAGAATGTTGATTGAGGTCCTAAGAAGGTATCTGGAAAATATTTATTATTATTATTATTATTATTATTATTTTACTCTTGTTTTTATATCTTAAGAATGACAAATAAGCAAATAATCATTACTATTAATATATCTAAATAGACAAATAATTATTATTGTTCATTTATTTATATATTTTTTCTTTTATCTTATTCTCACATTTGTAATTTCATTTCCAGAAGGCCCAGGGTAAGATTAGCTATTCGCTAAACCTGGTGTATTTTATAAATACTTTTTATTCTTAAATAAAGTTATTATTATTATAAAATATTTCGTTACGCAAAAAATTAGTGAGAAGTTTTTTTTAGATATCTTTAAGTTGCAATGTAGGACAAAAACAGACAACTAAAGAAAGATGCTGATATAAGTGAATATATTGAATCATATGTAACTCACATATCATTTATTTTGGGGTTGTAAGCGAAAGCTCCTGCTTCAATTTGGTGTAGAGGGTTGTCGTACAGCATTCTGAAATTAAAGAAGAATTCGGGAATACTGGGAAATTCCGGGCTTTATTCCAGTCATCATGTATCATCATCGTGTATCCGAGTATTCAAGAGAATGTTACCGTCTTTTTCATATTTTCATGGATGCTTCATGTTAAGAACGACTTGTCTGGGAATTTGAGATCTCGAATGAATGATAAAGTCAAATAACATGCTTTATCCTATATCAATCAAACATTGCGTAATATTTAGTTTCTAAACTACGTGGCACATGTCTTCCGCATGGGGTCATGGCGCACCATTAAGATACATGATAGATACAGGATGATGATTCATGATGATGATACATGATGATGATACATGATGATGATACATGATGATGATACA